TCTCTCCTCTCCCCCCCCCCCCTCCTCCCTCTCTTTTCGCTATTATTATTTCCACGTTCAATGAAAAATCTACTCTCAATGATAATCTATCAAAAATAATCACCTGTCATGTATCACGATATTGATCTCTCTCCATACATCGTGAAATAATATTAACAAGCACATTTATTTCATTTAAATTATATTAAATTATTTTAACTTGTATAATAGAGAATTGTATAATAGAGAAAGAAAACTGAGAACTGTTACGTATTAAATGGAATTTGATGTGTTTTTCATGGACATAATGTAATATATAATATTTAACAAGAAATAACAATTTAACTTATTCGAAAATTTATATCAAGAATGAAAAATATGAATAACAAACTAATTCTTTCAGAATTCTCTCGAGCATTTTTAATTGAAGAGCTCAGCGTTGGAATAACTTTCAAAATTGTCTATTGTATATCACCGTGGAATTTCATTTTTGGACGATGCACACTGCCGTCTTTTTTCATCCTCATGTTGTATCATGTCATGTCGTGACACTTTTAATCCGGCACATTCTTTGATCCCGTCTCTCTCTCTTTCTCTCGCTCGATAGGAGAGATGTTTATCCCTGCGTTTTTGAATAGCCAAATCGCGCGCGCACAGAAAACACAAAGGGCAGTCTTCTAATAAAATTCCTCTTTCACAAAACGTAATCACACGCGCTGCACCTTTGATTAAAATTATGCTTAACTGTGCAATATGCAACTTCTAACGCGCAGAATCTCAAGTGTTTCACATTCCTAATAAAGGAAAAGCCAGAAAGAATAAATAAATTGTGAATATTGCGTTCTTCTCATCACACACATACCATTTCATATTTGCATAGTTGCATATTTCATAGTTGCATACATCAAAATTTAATGACATTAACGTTAACTCTATAAGATCCACCATAAGTAAGAATCCTTTGCATAATTTTTATTAAATAAAGAACGTTTTAGCATTAACTACATTGAAAATAAGAGGAAATATTTTCGTACGTTTTTTTCTACAAAAAGAAGAAAATGGCGACGGTTGTCCGACCAAGACGAAAGATAAATGAGACATTACGAAGAGAGTGAATGGATATTTTTCAAGCCTCAGGAAAGGGACAGAGAGGGAGAGAGTGGAGGTGAGGACGAGTAATTCGGCACGCCAGACAATGTAAGAACGATATAGGAGCGTCGAGATCCCAGGACGATCCCGAGGGATGAATAGAAACGATCCTGTTTATCCCAGTTCTCCCACTTCCACTGCTCCCGCCAACCACCCCCCTTCTTCATCCACCCCCTAACCACCGACGACGACGGAGGCAATATGCTGCTCGTGGATTTTTATAACCACCGACTTTTCCTTCTCCTTCGCCATTCTCATCTCGTTTCTTGCGCCCAACCTCATTCTCTCCCATATCTTGTTCGCCACCCCTTCCTCATTCCCCCACCTGGTAGACCTGGTAGATCTCAGAATTTCGACCTCAATGACTCCTGAGAGATCGTCTAGAGAGACTGGACCAACATCTTCGTCGTCCTGGGAGCCCTAACTTCAAACTTTCTCATCCTGTTGTACCCCTACCTTCTTTATGAGTTTTGTTTTCTGACAAAAATACACACTTTAATCGAGTTGACCTATCAGTTATCTATGTGTCATTACATACCTTAATTACATGTTTTTAAATATAATAATAAAAGTTATTTACATCACAACTTCATAACTCTATATATATATATATATAAAATATTGAACATGGAACTTTAAATTTTAGAAATATCAGATAATATATTCGTCGCTTTCATTTTATTTATAAAAATGAAAATTCATCAGTATCATTATACTCGCAAGCAAAAGAAGATGATAAATTAAAACAGTCATTACTCACCTCGTAGAATCTGATAAAGGAAGACCTTGATGTGGTCCGGGCTGAGATGCTGTGGGCTTACGATGATCTTGTGCAAGTCGCTCTGGAGCAGCTCGGTAATCACGTATCTGTGTTGGATGGCTCGTTAAGGAACTTATCGATTATGATCGCTCGTATTATGCTAAGTCGTATCGCACGTGCATCAGCGACTAACAATTAATAGGTGATTCTCCTTCCCGGATCGTTACCTCGCACCTATAGAACAGGTCGACTAATTTCACATGTAATGACTTCATTTAATAATTTTCCAGTTTCATTTCTGGCACGTCGAACGTAGATGTTTTCGATAACGTGAAAAAAGAAATTGGAAATTTAAATGCGTTAAATCTGAAACGTCGTAAACCGAAAGTTACAATTTATTTTTCAGAAGATTAAACGTCCACGAAACGCAAACTGTTTTACTTAGAGTTTATTACATAGATATTAACATTCGAAATAAAACATGAAATTATATGCCGCGCTGTTTTCAAAATATTAATTGGAACATTAATTAATATATTACAAATATATACAAATTTAATCGGGTTGTTATTTTATCTCGCATTTAATAATTACTTTATCGATGTTTATTATAAATGTCATGGATAATATTTATTCATATTACTATTGTATACATACATACTTTATATAAGTAGACTTTCATTATACCAAATTATTATATTTCCTTACTGCCAGGATAATATTTCACTCGCCGCTTAATTGTCGTGAGTTTCATAAAATAATAACGATTGGCCGGCCTTTTCTGAAAAGGAAGAAAAATTTTTATCGGAACAGCAGCCACCGCGCGAATAATCCGTCACCGAGTTATACCGATCCATCAACGTCCGAAGTAAAACTGCAATCGCGCTGTAACGCGGTGTAAAGTAACACGCGTGCGATCGCTTCATCGTGAAATATCCGTGTCACGTGTGCGGTCGAGAGAGTTAATATTTTCGCAGCGGTTGATTTATGGCGTGTACGAATGCATTTGGCGAATGACCGAGCACCCGATCGCCCGGGATAACGTAACAGATAATGAATATCGATATACGTTCTCGATGGTATCTACTTGGCTGTTGCTGACAGTGATCGAATCGGTCATAATGAATACGATTGTCGATGTCATAATGCCAAGAGAGACAAAGAGGGAAAGAGAGGGATAAAGTGTCCATGTGTTACGCGGAATGGCCGATCGCTACCGGGATACTTTACGAAGCAAACCATACGAAAAAAAAATAAAGAATCTCTTATTCCTCTTTAAACTTCCTTTACGAAGCAAACCATCGAAAAAAATTAATATCAAAATCGATAAAAAAAATTACAGTATCAAAAATCAATCGATTTTGATCTTCCTTTGCTGATCTCATCTTTATCGAGAAAGTTTCTTTCCTTTGTTCATTTTTTTTAATATCGTTGGACAATATCGAGCTATTTTGGTTTCCATGAGATCTCGTCATTGACAATCGCACTTTTTCACCTATATTTTCTTTCCGGCAAAATATTAATAAAATATTAATATGAACAAACTAAGTTACATTACATCCAACGTACGTTGAGGTCATTGTGAAAATATCGAAGGAATGCCCCTCGAGTCGGGAGGCGCAATGTCAGGGACGAGACGCGACGTCTCGTTGTGTGACATAATTCGACCCCGAAAACTTGCTTTCGCGCGAACAAACGTGCGAGAAACGATGTTCAAGAGAACGTGAGATAGCCGAGAGAACGAACAAAATAGTATAATGGCGGAATGAGGTCGACCGGGTAGATCGGAATGCAGGTAGAGGCTGCCCTGGCGCGAACCTGACGCGGTATGCAAGAAGAGAGAAAGAGAAAGAAAGACAGAGACAGAGAGAGACAGAGAGAGAGAGAGAGAGAGAGAGAAACAGAGAGAAAGAGAAAGACGAAGCGAGAACTCAAACTAGCTCCAAGAAAGAAAACCAAGTACCGCAATTTAAAAAGATTGTAATTTTGATAATTTCAAACGTGAAGCAAAATTCGCTTTTAGGAAATGCGACATTAGATTTAAATTCCCGTCGCGTCACATTATTTATTGTCTAAAAGTGAGTATTAATTTTAGAACTATTGTCGCTTCTGATTGCACGCAACTAGGTTGAAACTTCGATCGGTCGATCGCGATCAAAGACTGGAGAGCGGGCGCATCAGCTCTTTGAATTATCAGAAGCTCGACGTTTCGATTTCGCGATGCAAAGAGAAGTAGAGGATACTATGTGCAGCCCATCGTGTTTGTGAAGCATAATTACTGTTTGATAATTGAAGCATTGAGAAGGATATATGGGATATACGGGATATATGGGATTATCAAAAGCTATACAATGATAATGAATATACAGAAAAGACTTAATTTGGTAATGTTTGGTAACTCTCGAATAATTAAAATTATTTTTATTTATTTTTCATATTATAAAAGTTCTCTATAAAGTGACCACACTATGTAAAGGATTAAAAGATAAAAAATATAGAGTAAACTTCAAACTTTAAGACAGAAAAGAGCTTTAAGACAGAAAAGAAAAAAAGGAATTTTCTTCAAATCTCAATCAACTTTCGAGTGAATTTTATGAAAATTTAATGTAAAATTATCTTAGCTACAAAATAAATATACAAATACAAAATAAATATTTGACACGTATGTGTGAAAGATATATATTATATTCAATATATTATGTACGAAAAGAGGAATAAGAGATTCTTTATTTTAAATATTTTACATAAATATAAATAATTTATATTGCTTACTAGAGCAACTTTATCTCTGCAGGAATGTAGGATTTCGTATCTTTTGCTATGTAAAAAGAAATCCATGTAGCGATCTAAAAAGCGATTTATCTCGACGAATGCTCCATTTCGAATTGAACTTCGCGTTTACAGGAATACGATATCTCTTCGCTACGTCGTAACGTCTCTATTGCTATTTCAGAGCATGATTGATGGTCGTACATGCTTCCCGATGCAAACAACCGCGAAACCTCGCCAGGAAAATCATGCCACGGACATCGAGAAGAATAAGTTTTCGACTTCATACTTTCTTTGAACTAGCTGATTAATTACTAGTATAATAAAAATACAATAACTCAAAATTTGAATAAATCTCAAAGAGTTAGGCATTAGCAAAAATAATTCTAACTTTTTTTATACATAATTTCTATGATTTTTTTTTCGCGATTTTCTTTTTCAATTCAAGATCTCTAACAAAAATCTCTAACTATCGATGAGGGAAGAGTGAAATTGTCTTTTTTGCTATCTGGAATACACCACAAAGGTACACGAGAGACAAGAACAATAGGGCGATTTTGCGCTTTAGAAGCATTTCTAGAATTTTAGAGATCATAACTGGATAGATTGATGGAGGGCAACTGCTCCACGACGGAAGCGTTCAACACAGCGAGGGATTCTTTATTCAGGATTCAATATTAACGTTATCCAGATATTTCTGTGAAAGAAAAATTGATTCCAAATTGATAATAGAGAATTTGCTGTTGGAAAAAGAGACACTATTGGGGTGCTATTTCTATATTGCCAGGTGTGCAAATATTCCATATAATATAGTATATCGAATTGCCATTCTAATAATAATTCTAAAACGTTAAAAAGTAGACAAATCGAGGATAGATCGTAGATGACACTTTCCCCGAAAGTACTCGTTATTGTCGGCATTGTGCAGTATGCTTAAGGCACCGCCGCGACGATTGGCGGATCGATGCGTGCCCGCTTGCCTGCTTGCCTCCTGGTAGGCATGTCGACCGGTTCCTGGACAAAGCGAGAGTTGCCCCTAGCATCATCTCTCTCCCAGCTCTCTACTCCGCGCCGCGTCGAGCGAGCGAGCGAGCGAGCGAGCGCGAAGGGAATTGAGTATCCTGCCGTTTTCTACCATCTTCTCTTTCCTTCCGTTCCCTCGCTATTTCTCTTCCCTCCCACTTCATTCCCCGCGTCACTCTCTCATCCGGTACCAATCCAAGGAAGAGAAATCCGGAGGACTCTGGATATGCGGATTCGCTGGGAGTCCCATATCTCGCAAATAAGCTCTGGAGAGAAAGACCCATAAGAGACCCATTAGGAGATCATGGGGAAAGCAAAAAGATACGTGTCTTGCCTCTGCCATAATAATTTTTAACAGCAGATCCATCGAAATCAATACAAAAATTGAATTAAAGCTTTCAATTTGAAAGCCTTTTTTTTTTATAAAGGTTAATATGAAAATTACGTCACTTATTGAAACCTTATATGTTTTTAATATATATTTGTGTCTAGACGGCGAATTAAAATCCGGCATTGGACAAGTGCCGAATTGAGAATATCAGGTTACTCTTACATCTCTTGAGCTTCTGTATCTCTCGGCAACGAATAGCTCAGGGACGAGTATCCCCTCAGATTCTTTTTAACTGAACTAGATAACAAAGAGGAGAGAGTAACGATGACAACAACGACGACGACGACAAGGATAAGGGTAAGGATGAGGATAAGGATGATGAAGGCTTAGACTCTGAGGTGTTCGAGCAAGGCCGATCCGGCTCGTCCGACCGGTCATCCGAGTTCGAACTCGACTCGCGCAAACGACTTCGAAATACCAAGAGAAAGAGAAAGAACTCTCGATGATACTGTTCTCTCGCGTTAGCTCATCATACTAAAAAGGCATGAACCTAAGCTGCGTTCAAGCATCATGAATGGAAGCCCGAGTTTGTCGAGTTTGTTAATTTCGTAAATTTGAAAAATTACTCTACCGATTAAGTATTAAATTAAAAATGCAATCTCCAAATAAATAATATTTAAATTTAAGATTATTTAAAATTTGATTTTAAAAAATGCAAAAATTTAGATCACCGTTTATCATCCATTTATACTGATACACATTATTATAAATAGAAAATAGACTACTTTTCTAATGTGCATTTATTTGGAATAATCAGTGGAATAATTCATATCTTAAATTAAAAAAAAATAGATTTTATAATTTTATAAACCGATAATTTAGATAGTCATTTCCTCAAATGCATATTATTTACATTTTTAAACTAGATAAATGATAGTAATCTCTCTCTGGTAGCATTTAATTTTGAGAGAATGATTGTTTTAG